CTCACCCCACAGCTGAGCCACCCCCCTCCAGCCCCAAGGATGAAAAAGCCATAAAAAAAAAAAGCCAAAAAACTTGATTCTTACAGTTAAAATCAAGTGTGTCACTTCGGTAACAAATTGGCCTGCCTGGCTGGCAGAAATAGCTGTTAAAATAGATATATACATTTTTTGGGGGGGAGAGGGGGGTGTTGCCTTTCCCAAATGAGTTCAAGAATGGGGAGGCTTTAAAGTCCCCGCAGACACTGAGTTTTTCTGCTCCCTTCCCTGCACCCTGCAAGGTAATTATCTGGCAGGAGCTGGGCTGTGCCATGGGTGTATGGCTGGTTACACTGCTAATTAGCAGGAACGAGCCAGTCCCCCAGGGCACCCTGGGTCCATCCCCATCCCTCTCTGCCTTCCTCCTCCTCCTCACCCCCAGGCACACAGCAGGAGAGGAGGAGGGAGAGCCTTGTCCTCCTCCTTTGGATGACAGAGGTGCAAACGTCCCCCTGCCCACCCAAGGGATGAGGGACAGAGGAGAGGAGGACCCCCAAAATTTATCCACTGCTCCTTGCCCTGAGGCTACCTGGGGGATGAGGACATGGTGGAGAGCACTACTTCTGCTGGTACCAAGAGACTTGCAAAGTTCATAATTTGGACCCTGCTTCAGCCTCTTCTGGGAGGGACGCTGAGGAAGCAGAGGCTTCCCAAGAAGTCTCCTCTTCCCAAAAGGAAAGGAAAAAAAGTCCTGAGCTTGGGGCTATTTAGCTCACCGGAGAGGCAGGGCTGCTTTCCACGCCTGGGCTTCTCTCCTTGGTGCTCCTCACAAGCTTCCCCCTCTCCTCACCCCCAGCAGCCATCACTGGACAAAAACCACGTTTAAATAAGCCACGGCACGAGTGGCCCCGACGCCAGGGTGACTGTCTGCTGGGCGGCACGGAGGGCATCCATCCATGGGGGAGCACCAGGAAGGGGTCCCTCTTGCACGTGATGCGTTGGGAGGAGCATCCCCCGTGCCTGGCCCAGCAGACGCACGCTGTGCGAGGTACGAGGGAGCTGTTGGAGCCCAGACACCCCTACAAGGATGGATTGGGGCTACCAGGACGTCACGCGGGCGTCCTCCTCACCGGCAGCGGGAATAGGATCTCCATGGGGCATGCAGATGGACACCCTCTCCATCCTCAGGTCTCCTAAGCTATTAGGACCTCAACGGACAGCTCAGGTTCTCCAGATCTACACCCATCCCTTCCTAACGCTCCAGTGCAAAGTCTTCGAGGCCCCACACCACCAGGAGCAGGGACCTCGGATCTCAAGGAAGCAGCCACAGCAAGAACTGGGGCTATTCCCAGCACTTCCAGGCACCTAAGCTGGGCACCCAGCATGGAAAGCCTCCCGGAAAAGGGAACCCAGCCTGAGGGCTTCTTCTCCAGAGCTATACCAGAGGAAGCCCCAGATCATCACTCCAGGGGCTCCAAGACTTCACCAGACCCCACATACATACACAGAGACCGTCCTCCATCCCCCAGAGGTTCCACTGCCCAGATGTATGTCCCACCCTGCCCCAGGGAGCCCAGGGTAGGGCTGGAACAACCCCAGGGCACGTGTGTTCCCCACAGCAGCCCCCTGCCCACTGCCTGCTTGGTCCAGCCCCCCCAGGAGATGCAGAAGGGGGTGATGCCCAGGGCACGTGTGTTCCCCACAGCAGCCCCCTGCCCACTGCCTGCTTGGTCCAGCTCCCCCAGGAGATGCAGAAGGGGGTGATGCTGGTCCTGTCCAACAGGGCTGCCCCACAGAAAGAAGCTGGTGGGGCACCTCCTGCCATTAAGGGGCAGCCCCGAGGTGGGACAGGCACAGGGCTCATTCCCATCTCCCCATCACCGTAAGGAAGACACCTCTGCTCCCCTCCCCTCCCCAAATCCATCCCCCCCTCTTCCTGCAAAGCAATATAGGGAGCTGCTGGGAGGCTGCACCACCCCGGCTGGACGGGAAGAACAGGGACTCACCCGGACACCGTTCCTGGAGAACTCCAGCTCCTCTTCCCAGTCCCTCCCCCCACAACTCAACCATGAGCCAAACCAAGCCCTTCCAGCCTCACCTGTGCTCTGCCCCTCCGGAGAGTGGCTGGGACCCGCTCAGCCTTTGCAACACACTCCCCTCCGTAGCGAGACATCAGCCTGTGGGTCCTCCTCGCCCCTCTCCACGCTGGCTGGTTGCTCTGCCTGCCTTTGGGAATAGGTGCTTTTCTTTTTTTTTTTTGCCTTTTTTTTTTTTTTTTTTTCCCCCCTTTTTCTTTTTTTTTTTTTTTTTTTGGCCTCCCTTCTTTTCGCCCCCCTTTCCCCAACCCCGGAGCGTTTTGAATGTGCAGATGCCCCAGCTTCTTAAAATTCAGCCCGGGGAGGGTGGGGGGGGGACGTGGGAAGTGTTTTGGAACATGCCCAAGCTGTCTGCTCCGTGCGTGCGCGCTTGCTAAAAAACCATCCACCTACAAGCCCCCGTCGCCCGCACCGCTTGTCAGCGCCGCCGTGCCTTCTTTCCAAAGATAAAGTGGAGCTTACACACACACACACACACACACGTACACACACACAGACACACACAGAGAGCCAGGAATCAAAGCACCAGGAGCAAACGCCCCGTCAGGGTGCGGGTGGGAAGAAACTTTTCTGCTCAGAGTCACAGAATCATCTAGGCTGGAAGAGACCCTTGGGATCATCGAGTCCAACCATCTACCCTACTCTAAAGTTCTCCCCTACACCATATCCCCCAACACCACATCTAAACGGTTCTTAAACACAGCCAGGGATGGTGTTGGTCGCCTGTCGGCTGAACATGAGCCAGCAGTGTGCCCAGGTGGCCAAGAAAGCCAACAGCATCCTGGCCTGTATCAATAACAGTGTGGTGAGTAGGACCTGAGAGGTGATCATCCCCCTGTACTGGGCACTGGTGAGACCCCACCTCCAGTACTGTGTCCAGTTTTGGGCCCCTCACCACAAGAAAGACATTGAGGTGCTGGAGCGGGTCCAGAGAAGGGCAACGAAGCTGGTGAGGGGTCTGGAGAGTAAGTCTAATGAGGAGAGGCTGAGGGAGCTGGGGGTGTTCAGTCTGGGGAAGAGGAGACTGAGGGGAGACCTTATCACTCTCTACAACTACCTGAAAGGAGGGTGTAGCCAGGGGGGGTTGGTCTCTTCTCCCAAGTTACAGATGATAAGACAAGGGGTAATGGCTTCAAGTTGCACCAGGGCAGGTTTAGACTGGACATTAGGAAACAATTCTTCACAGAGAGAGTGGTCGGGCACTGGAACAGGCTGCCCAGGGAGGGGGTTGAGTCACCATCCCTGGCTGTGTTTAAGAACCGTTTAGATGTGGTGTTGGGGGATATGGTGTAGGGGAGAACTTTAGAGTAGGGTGGATGGCTGGACTCGATGATCCCGAGGGTCTCTTCCAGCCTAGATGATTCAGTGATTCTGTGGCTTAACGACTTAACCTTGGACAAGCCCAGCTTGACTTGGTGGAACACTCAGCTGAGGTAACATCTACACCAATTATACACCAGTTCAGTACCCAGCCCTAGCACCCACCGGGTTAAAAAACGAAAATAAGGGAATATAAACCACCGAGGCTGAGATCCATCCAGGACAGCCAGGCTGAGCCCTCCTGCTCCGGGTAGGATGTACAATGAAGGCTCTGAGTCCCTGAGGGAGGAGGACAGCGGGGCCATCTCCAGCCCAACAGCCTGGCTCCGGGTTCACAACACAAGCTCTTCAAAAATCAGTGACAAGGTTGCTTTTCCCTTTGCTTTTAAATCCCTTCAGCAATCTGGCCTTCAAGTGCTCATCAATCCATTCAGGGCAGTCTCCCCCCCTCCTCCCCCACCCCTTCCAGCATCACTTCACTGCAAATTTGAGTGAAATTGGTATTTTCCTATCAGAAACATGAAATTTCAAACACAGAGAACATTGGATTTGAAAGCTGACTTTTGTTGGGAAGGTGCCTGTCTCTTTGTTCACAAAAGGGCTCATTTTTCCTGGAAAGGGGCCCAGATTTTGAGTGAAAGATCAATAACGTGCAGAAAACGGGTCCTTTTATTTAATTTTGCCACGATACCAAAAAGAAAAGAAAGAATCCATTGCTGAGACTGAATGACTTCAAAATATTTTGCATTTGTTTACCCCGTTGCGACGCTGGAGCATCTATTCAAAGGAGCTCAAGGGGAAGGATGCAGCCTTTGGGGCTCCCTTAGAGCATCCCCCTGCCACCTGCTGCTACCCCGCTGGGGACAGCATCCCTGGCACCACTCCAGCCCCATCCCAGCCCTTTTTGGGGGGAATTATTAGAGATTCAAAAAAAAAAAAAAAACCCAACCCACCACAAAGACACAGCATTCAAGATGCTGCGCAACAGTCATGACATGCTGCATCCTCCCCGATCCATATGGGGGAAAACTAACACTTTGGCAAATTTATGAAGATGTGTGAAAGTGATTATATTCCTGAAAATATCTCAAGTGGAACGGCCTACCTGGCATATTTTGTTAGTCATGAAACACGCTCCCTCCACCGACGGTAGTTTGTGGCTTCCCATCTGCTTAAATACTTTAAATACTGAAACTTTCTGATTTTTTTATGCTTTTTTTTTGAAGGCCAAAGAGCAGGCTGGCGGCGGCGGCACGCTGCTGCTGACTCAGGGGCGCGGGCTGGGGACACGTTTGCCATCAGCAAAGGGATGTGTTGGACACCTCACCAAAAGAGCAGGGGAGCAGAGGATTCCCCACGCCGGGGATGAGTCCTGCCTCCGGCCCAGAAACGCAAAAGCTCAGCTTGTGTTAATTGAATCACAGAATCACAGAATCTTCTAGGTTGGAAGGGACCTTAAAGATCATCTTGTCCAACCATCAACCTAACTCTGACAAAAATAGACACCCACACAACAAACAAGGAGCATCATCACTAAACCATACCTCCCAGCACTACATCAACCCGTCTTTTGAACACCTCCAGGGATGGTGCCTCAACCACCTCCCTGGGCAGCCCATTCCAATGGCTGATAACCCTTTCAGGGAAAATTTTTTTCCTAATATCCAGCCTGAACCTCCCCTGGCGCAACTTGAGGCCATTTCCTCTTGTCCTGTCGCCTGTGACTTGAGAAAAGAGACCGACCCCCACCTCTCTACACCCTCCTTTCAGGGAGTTGGAGAGAGCAATAAGGTCTCCCCTCAGCCTCCTCTTCTCCAGGCTGAATAACCCCAGCTCCCTCAGCCTCTCCTCATAAGACTTATTCTCCAGACCCCTCACCATCTTTGTCGCCCTTCTCTGGACCCGCTCCAGCACCTCAATGTCTTTTTGAATTTTTAAGACATTGAATTAAGAGCAATGGGCAAGAGAAGAATGTTTGGGGTCGAGCCTGGGCGCCAAAGGGAAAAGGTTAAAGGGAAGAAATGGCTCTGCTTTGCCGTTTTTCTTCCATTCTGCCAGAAATAAGAGGCAACAGTTGTAAAGCTTACAAGTCCCCGCTGCCGAGCCCAGCTTTTAGTGAGAGACAGGGTTTATGGGCACTTGTTCCAGGGCAGCCACCACCCTGACCCCCCAATTCCTGCTTTCCCGGGGAGCAATGCCCCTTTCATCCCCGGGGAGCTGGGGAGAAGGCTCCGAGACACCAGGGCTCTCTAAACCCTCAGCCAGCACTGGCATCCTCCCGGAGGGACCCGGCTGCCTCCCCCCTGCCCTCTCCTGCTCTTTAGTTAATAGCTTCTATTTTAAACCCCTGGCTGGAGCGGCTCTGACAGCAGCGGTGGGAGGTGGGGTGGGCAGGCACGGGGGGTGCAGGCAGAGCTCAGTGTGCCGGCAGGAGAGGGCAAGCCCCAGCAAAGGCAGCTGGGATGCAGGGATTCAGAAACCCAGCCAGGACTCCCTAACTCAAAGGAAATGGCCAAGGGGGAGCCACCGCAGAAGAGGAACATCCCCCAAAACACCTTGGGCACAAGCCCATCCCCACCAAGCTTCCCTGGAGGTGCTCAAGCATCCTATACCCTGGGAAAACCCTGGAGTGAAGGAAACCCAACCAGGACTTCCTATCTCAAAGGTAATGGACATGGGGGAGCTGCCGCAGAAGAGAAACATCCCCCCAAAATACCTTGGGCACAAGCCCATCCCCACCAGGCTTCCCTTAGATGTGCTTGAGCCTCCTGCACCCCAGGAAAACTCTGGGGTGAAGGAAACCCAGCCAGGACTTCCTATCTCAAAGGTGAAGGCCAAAGGGGGAGCTGCCGCAGAAGAGGAACATCCCCCCAACACAGCTTGGGCCCATCCCCACCAGGCTTCCCTGGAGGTGCCCTTAGATCCTATACCCTGGGAAAGCTCAGGAGTGAAGGAAACCCAGCCAGGACTTCCTATCTCCAAGGTGATGGCCAAGTGGGAGCTGCCACAGAAGAGGAACATCCCCCCAACACAGCTTGGGCCCATCCCCACCAGGCTTCCCTGGAGGTGCCCTTAGATCCTATACCCTGGGAAAGCTCAGGAGTGAAGGAAACCCAGCCAGGACTCCCTAACTCCAAGTTGATGCCCAAGGGGGAAGCCACCTCAGAAGAGGAACATCCCCCCAACACAGCTTGGGCATAAGTCCATCCCCACCAGGCTTCCCTTAGATGTGCTTGAGCCTCCTGCACACCAGGAAAACTCTGGGGTGAAGGAAACCCAGCCAGGACTTCCTATCTCAAAGGTGAAGGCCAAAGGGGGAGCTGCTGCAGAAGAGGAACATCCTCCCAACACAGCGTGGGCCCATCCCCACCAGGCTTCCCTGGAGGTGCCCTTAGATGTGCTCAAGCATCCTATATCCTGGGAAAACTCTGGGGTGAAGGAAACCCAACCAGGACTTCCTATCTCAAAGGTGAAGGCCAAAGGGGGAAGCCACAGCAGAAGAGGAACTTCCCCCCAGAACACCTTGAGCACAAGTCCATCCCCACCAGGCTTCCCTTAGATGTGCTCAAGCCTCCTGCACCCCAGGAAAACTCTGGGGTGAAGGAAACCCAGCCAGGACTTCCTATCTCAAAAGTAATGGCCAAGGGGGAGCTGCCACAGAAGAGGAACATCCCCCCAACACAGCTTGGGCACAAGGCCATCCCCACCAGGCTTCCCTTAGATGTGCTGGAGCCTCCTGCACCCCAGGAAAACTCTGGGGTGAAGGAAACACAGCCAGGACTCCCTGACTCCAAGT